GAAAACAATGTATGTGTTTATCTAACATATTCAAGCTGGCTTCTAAACGATTTCAGAAAAATAGTATGGAATATGGTGTTTTTTCCTTCCCATTCTTCAGTAATGGTCCCAGTTCTTCAGTTATATGGTATACTTGCTGGAAATTCACATGTCCTACTTCATTGCATATAGTTTACATATTGAGGATTACGACATCATTTTTTCCATGATAGAACATAAATTCCAGAAAAGCAGGATAACATGGATTTGGAGATCTTACATGATTTCAGAGATAACCAAGCTGACATTGCAGCATTCTTTTCTGCTTGCTTCTTATTCTTAGCTGGCTCACCAGTAAATATAACGCCTGCCAACTCTACAGTACCAGTAAAGAAAGGAAGGTGGCCTAGACCTGATCTGAAAGTCGTATATGCAGGCAAAGATGATCCCACTCTTTGCGAGACCTCCTGCAAGAGATTCTTATAAACACCCGTCTCATCCTGTATAGCACAAGGTTCAGCAGAGAAACAGCAATAGAGAGCAATCCATGAGAAATGAGAGGCTAAGAATAAAAATAAAAAAATTGAGAGATGAAGGCTGCACACGAGGTTCACATACATGGAATGACAGCCTTAGTTTGCAGTTATGAACATGTTCAGGCCGACAAAGAAATATATGCACGAAGCATTGGAATGAGAAGACTCTGTGATGTTCAGACACTGTGGATCATTCTCGTTTGCATGACATCTTCACGTGCATATCACATATTTTGTCTGAATATTACTCCATCATTTACCCTCCCATTTTTTTTTTTCCCTCCCTCGGCAATCTCTCTTCAAACTAGCCTCAAAGATTTCACTGAAGTTCAGTCTTAGGAACAATGAGAATCCACAGTGGCATTTGGAAAGGCAATAAGATCAATAGCCATCATTGATCTCTTTCATACACCCAGTACTAATGCATGGGATAACAAGTCACGATACTTAAAATATTTGATAATGACCATTATAATGCATTCGAGGTATCATATCCCATTAAAACATCAAATTTTTTATATGAACAATTTTTTACAATAGATACATATTATTTTCAGCACACTAAGTTCAACAGAGCCTCACTTTCAAAATGCAACGTACTTTACTACTTTCCATATTTATATTCCATTTAATAAATGATTTGCTCGTTTAACCGAGGAATGTAAAGGCATCAAGTAATGTAATATCACAAGTTCTCAATGTACCCACTCTTGCATTCTTGCTCCACAGGCTGGTTACCTAAGGAGTAGTTCCAACTGGAGCTCTAAAGGACTGGATACAACATTAAATTTCGGCTATGGAGCTACAAGCATTAAGTGGTCAATTGAGCTGGGCTAGGAATGATGCTCAAGCTTGGGTTAACTCAAAAGTGAATAATAATGGCATGTTTTCCCAATATCATGCTACCACGTACAACCATCCAGCTCAAGTCGTTAATGAATGCTCCACAAATTAATAAATGAGAAACATTATGCCAACTGTCAAGCTTCAAATTTGAATTTTTTTTTTAATGTAAAAATTTTACAAAGAAAAACCAACTTTAATACGTTATATCTTGCATGCCACATCATGTATTGTCCCATGGGAGTTCCAAATCCACACAACTAAACCTCGGTGAATTTCATCTTCAACGCAACAAAAAATTTGGAAAAAAGTTTAGTAACTTAGTACGTGAAAAAATATAGGAAATAAAAGGAACTAAAAGTTAAAGCTACACCTTGCGCCTATTTAATGCTCTGAAACCACACAAGCGGAAACTGGCCCATACAAGCTCCATTCATTTATAATCAAGCTTGTCTCGGCTTAATTTCTTTAAAACTAAAGTTTGATCCAACGTACATCCGTAACCGATGTATTTGTGTCATCGATCCTATCGCCCGATGGGGGGTATGGTAATTTATGACAAGGTTACCATGTAAAGCAGCTAAGCATGAAAATTAAGACAGATTTCATGAATTTGGATAGCCAAAACTAGCTGTAATGCTAACAAAACTATTTCAAGTGTATCATTTGGATTACATACTCCCTTGCTAGAGCTATTCACTTTTGCAGGGGGGAAAAAAAGGAACAACCCTAACAGAACATGGCATCAAAACTTTTGCAAAAGGCTCAAATCTCATCTAGCTTTTTAGCACACATACCACTAAGAGGATAAGGAGATTGTAAATCTGCTTCTAACAACGCATTATCTACTAAAAAGATCTTAGAACCAGTATAAATTTTGAACTGTATTCCTATAAGTTTAATTCAATGCTGCTAAAAGTAAACAGTTGATTGAAATGTTCAAGGAGTCCGTAAAGCTGGCACCATTCCCCTATAGAAACTTAATTCTTTTATAGAGTTCATCAAATGAATGCAGTTTGACCTATCATTTTTACAGGAAAGGCCCAATTCCAATAACTGGAAACAGAGAAGCTCCACAAGGTTTTCTACTACATTTCCTTTTTCCTATAAAACTTCTTAACATATTCACGAAGCAAAACAAAAATTAAAACCAAAAAAATGTAAAACAAAAAACGAACAGTAAAAACCTTACCAGAATTCTCGCAGCGAGAGAGTTGGTGGGACCACGGGTGGAAAGGTCATTGAGCGCCATCTCAGCGGCGGAGTGCTCAGCCTGGCGAAGCGTGGAACAGTAGTTGGGACTCTCAAACGTCTCACCGTTAAAATTAACGGTGGCCTTGAAGCGCGGCGCGTGGTCGGGACCTTCTCTGATGCACGTGTACGACGGTAGATTGAAGCAGCTCCGCTGCGCCAGCTCCTGTAGCTGGTTCTTATACATTTTTACACAAATAACAAAGCAAAACAAAACAATAAAACCCCCAGAAAATGAATTCTATACACTCAATTTCTACTCTTTTGCTTAAAATGCTAATTTGTATTTGAGAAAATGCATCATCAGAGAAAGAGACTCAGAGAAAGAGTGAGTACATTATACAGAGTGCAGTGGTTCCTTGTTGCGGAAATGAGTTGGCAACGCCACTTTAATATACATTTTTTTCAATTGGCCTTTGACCAAATTTATAAAAATAAAAGATGTTTAATTGCTCCTCGAGG